CTTATTTTTTATTTATTTTCTTTTTTATTAAAAAAAAAAATATTTTTTATATATTTATTTATCCATTTTTTGTATCAAAGTTTTCTATTATTTAATAATTTCTAGTAATTTTGGAGAGCCAAGGTCATATATTAGCTTGTGATTGCCATTAACAAATGAATTTCATGTTATAGTAGTACACAGTCATCCCATTCATTCATATTTACATGACTTCTTAAGTGGGAGATTTTTTTTTCTCTCTGTTGAAGAGAATTAAAAAAAAGAAAAGAAAAAAAGAAAAAAAAATACAGAATTCATTGATAAGGAACTTTTAGGATTATCATGGACTTCACCCAGCCTAAATCAAGGGAAGTTTTAGAGAGCATTCATTCTTATGGCCCTGATTTAGAGAGCATTTTACAGTGTGTCATTTTCCCTCCCAACAGCCAGGAGAAAACATCGCAAGACTGTATGAGATGTCGGACTCGCCTGAGCGTCGTGCCTGGCTCGACAAGCTGCTCTCTTTCATGGACGAAAACAAGACGCCAATCACTGCGTGTCCGACCATCAGCAAGAATCCACTTGATCTCTATGCCCTGTATCTGCACGTGCGGGAACGAGGCGGCTTTGTGGAGGTGAGTCTCTGCAGTTTGGTTTTGGCGTTTTTCGTTTTCCTTTTTTTGATTCCTTTCCTTTAATGTATTCCATTTTATACACTTTATTCGTGATCAGATTCTTTTTCTGTTTTTTCTTTCATGTACGTACATGCAGTTTTAACCTTTTGTTTGTTAAATCTTATAACTACCATCCCATGACACTAATTGATCAACTCTTCAAAGGTTACCAAGAACAAGCAGTGGAAGGATGTGGCTGCCGTCATGGGCATCGGGGCTTCGTCCAGTGGCTCGTACACTCTCCGCAAGCACTACATGAAGCACATCCTGGCCTATGAGTGCAAGTTTGACCGGGGAGGCATTGACCCCCTCCCCATCATCAATCAGATTGAATCGGCAGCCAAGAAGAAGACAACGAAGACGATATCGGTGCCCTCTCCTGGTATGTCTTTACCATTCCTATAGCTAGAGGGCGATATTTTTGTTGAATGCAAAAAGAATGCTAAGGATCTAAGATTTTCTCATCAGATGTTCTTTTACTCTCAACTGCGAATGCAAATTGAAGCAGCAATTAATTAACAAAATCTGTCCCCAGGTTCTTCAAACTCTCAAGATTCCTTCCCGCCAGCTGGCTCCAACAGCAGTTCCATGGACGGGTTTTCCAATGGTCCACACGTACCTGGTGGTCCAGGAGTGCCTGGGCCTTATCCCCAGTATCCTCCGGCATCTGAGTATGGCACTCATATGCAGCAGCGTCCTCCTTCGCAGTCGACTCCTGGTAAGTCTGCATGCAACCCACTTGTGAGGAAGGTCTAGCAACAGTGTGTTTCCAGTTTTCTCTATATATCTTCTATATCCTAGTACTCTTACTCTTATTCTTATGATGCTTTCCCCTCCACCTTTAAAGTAACTTCTCTCTCCTTGTGGAAGGAATGGTAATCAAGCCAGCCAGTGTTAATATGAACCTGTCTGACTCTCATGCCTCTCCTTGTACATAGGGTTATAAGTATGTATAATTTGTGGATTGCTAATGTGACAGGAGATATTAGATGTGGAGCCAGCACTGTAAGACTTTCTGTGCTCATATATTTATTCATAATTAACATCACAGTCAGTTGGTGGACCCTCCAGTATTTACCTAATGTTATTGTTGCAATCATCTTCCTTTATTAGTATCATTCTTATCATTAAGAGAATGGTAGTGATATTAATGTGTCATCAATATTATGATAGTACATCTTAACTGAATTAACATCATTATTTTTCTTTGTTTATGCAATTATGTCTATGCTTCCCAAACAAAGCATGGGATTTCACAAGTTAATATTTTGTTTCATTTATTTATTTTTTTAGTGACCATTGTTTACGGTTAGCCCAGTAAGTGATTGCACAAAATTCAGAGAATTTCAGACAGAAAGGAGGCACCTGGTATCTCCATTGCATTCATGAATTAGTGATAAGACATTAGACAAGAGTTAATGAAAACCAATTTAGTTTGAAAATAGTTCACTTTTGCGAATTAGATTTTTGATTTCAAAAAACATGTATTTTTAGCTGCTGTAATGAGTTTGTAGAGGACTTCCTTTAATTCATTCTTTCAGTTTTCACAGCCAGTCAGGCCCTTGTATCTGTGCCTTTTTTTCCCTATTTAGATATATTGCACATTGATATAATAAAAATAAATCTTTGGTTTTGATATTAATGCATAATGTATATAAAGTTATTTTAAAGTGAATGACAATATTAGACATCTGTAAAATAATTATTGAACTTCCACAGCAATTATCCAGTATTCAGTAATATTTATACATAGTAATCTAAAATTAGTAGCATGTTCAGTTTATGTTACAAAGTTATATATATTAATAGATTATTATATAGCAGTATAAAACAGCTTCCCTTTGTAAAGTGTTCAGAAGAGTAAGAGGTTCCAGGTGCCCCTTTAAGATAGAATTTATTGTAATTAACTCAGTCACTTAATAGGTTAACGGTATGTGCTGTTTAACTCTCGGAAAAAGCACCTGTGAGTGTGTTGAGTGTGTTTGAGTGCTTTTGTCATGTTAGATGTTCTCTCTTTTTATGTGGCGAGAAACTAGAGCACTCTCTTACTATGACAAATTGATGTATTTTTAATATCAAGTCTTTTTCTACATATTTTATTTATTTATTTATTTATTTATTTATTTATTATTTATGTATTAACCCATTGGATCCAGGTGCTTCATGGCAATCAGAATATGAGCATTAGGCTTACATGAGCGGCTGCTCTTGACAGGTGTGTGGCTTGTAGGCCGGGCACACATGAACACTCGTGTGTAGTGACAAGACTAAATGCTTCCCCTTTGCAATGTTATTTTGGCTTTATGCAAAAGTGTTTTTAGCTTTTTTTTATTTTCTAATGTCTATATTTGTCATTTCATTTGTTTGATCCAGATGGTAATAGACCATTTTCCTTGCAGAGACTATATTCAATTTCCTGTAATACATTCTTCAGTGGTTATGGTGGCCAGGAATAGGATGCAGATTATGAAAATGGTTTCCTCTCTGGAAATAGCACTATTCCAATCATGGCTCACAGATACTACATTCCACACTTGTTTATCAATGAAAATAATGCAAAAGCACCTTTCTAACTGTCACTAGTGGTGAGTCTTTCCCGTCACCCCGGCCTTCAGCTAAAATGCACAAGATGGCAAATTTGTGTGACCCCGGCCCACAGCCAGATTTTCCCTTAATAATATTTTCATGTCACCCATCTCTCAAGCCAAATTTTTTCATGTCAACCGGATCGTTGGGGTTAAAATGGCTTTGCAGAATGCTCAGCTAATGTTATAATTGTAGGATTCCCCTTTTATTTCTTATTTCTTAGTATTTGGACTAGGCAAGAATTAGTTATGCAATGTTGTGTATATAGGCTACTTAAGCCACTCACGATGGGAGCTCCAGGCACAATACTAAACCACGCACTAGGACGCGCATAAAGTCAGCTGGTTGAGAGAAAAACTAGAAGTGCTGAAAACAAATTTGCCTTTGCTCTATATGCTCTTGGCTTTAGTATAATCAGGTAATGAGTCTAAAAAGAGGCTTTAAGCCTAGTTTCAAGGGGCATTGTCTCCTCAATCACTGCAGCCAGAGTTAAACCAGCAAACAACTGTTTAGTACACACAACTTTGTACAGGCTTGACTGCGCTTGATGTGGGAGCTATGACATAAGCTGTGATCCCAGAGTGGGTGGGTTAAGAGAATAAATAGTACTACAGCTTCCTGTGGCATGACCAGTGAAAATCAATGTAGATACTATGATTTTCGTGGGAATCACAAAAGACACTTATTTTGACAGTCCAGAACATGTTACTGATCAGTTTTCTGGAGTGTTGCTTTGACATACGTAATCGTTATAGAAACTTGCTGACATTTTATTGACAAACGTTTCTTCTCCCATACATACACACAAGACTGCATTTGCTTTACACTCGCTAGTGGATTTGTTCAATATGTATGTGCATTCTCTTTCCTTGGGCTAATCTAGAGAGTTTCCACAAATGCCATTCACAGGATGGCCTGGCTCCTCCCCAACCCACCAGGTGCTGGAGAGGGGGAGGAGGGGGGTGTGAGCCAGCTTATTTGGGTGTGGGAAAGGCACAGTGCTATCTACTATGGACAGTTAATTTGATTTTCACTTTTTCTTTTTCTTTCTTTTTTTTTTTTCTCTTTCTTTTTTGCTGTGGCCTGTAAGTTATGTTCTCCCTTCAAGTCTAGCTTGGTCCTTTCTCCTCTTCCTGTTTGAGGAAAAAATTAGATGTAAGCATTAAACACATTCCAAAGAGCAGATGCTTGGTTTAAAAAAAATATATATAAGTTAAGATTAATGCTTATTTACATTTTTTTTAATGGGAAGGAAAGTTACAAATACCACAAAAGAATCAGAAAAAAAGAAAAAAAAATCCCTCCATGACACAACTCCTACACTTCCTCGGCAAGCCCGATACTGATGGTTAGCCACCTTGTGCCTCACAGGTCCAGTAGGCAACGGGGAAAACGTGAACGTGTCTAACCCATTTGATGATCAGTGTCAGTACTCACGCACTTACCATAACTCGTATTCTCGAACTCCGGGTAAGGGCCTTAGTGTCGGGTGTGCTCGTTCTATCCCAAACCTCCATGCATCTGAGTGTGCATTCATCTTGGGGTGTGGCTGTGTCTGTGTGCGTCTCATGGTCAGCATTTTTTTTTTTTTTTCTTCTTCTTTTCTTTTCTTTCTTTTTTTTCTTGTTTTTCTTGTTCTTTCTTTCACTCCTTTCTCTTTCTCTTTCTTTCTCTTTCTTTCTTTCTTGCTTTTTCTTTTCTTTTTTCTTTTTGTGTTTACATATATGTCAGTACAATGAAGAAAACAAATCTTAATTTGATAACTGAAGTGGAAGAACCAAGAGACGTTCAGACCTTTTGTGCACTTGATGAATGCATATTGTAACATGTTACAGACTAGATGTCCCTCTTATATATATTTGATAAATTTTGCTCGAAACATTTATTTTATGTTGGATTTTATTTATTTACTTATTTTTTATCGTTATTGTTTGCTTGCTGGAATAGATGTATTATGTGTTAAACATTTTATTTGTTGACATTTTGTAACCAATAATTTGTTTTCAATTATTTGTATTAACTTTTTCTTTCTAGGTTTTGCATGCTCCAATATCAGATTTGTTTGAGGGCCATGTTCAAGAATAAGATTTATGTAATTAGAAAAATATACTTGTGTGTAGACAACTAGAAACCATCTTTTTTAGGGCTGAGGTGCTGGACACATACATTCCTCTTACATTGGGAAGAATCTTTTTACTGTTCACATATACACAGTATTTTGTATGCAACCTCCGAGCCCTCTTTGAAATGGGTCCTTTTGTCACTAGACGCAGGTATTGAAAGACATAACCCTAATTCTTTAGAAGTTCTTGCCCAAACTGAAAAAAAAAAAATCTTTGAACATTGCCCTAAGGAAAAGCTGCGAGGGAAATGCTTCGGGAATGGAATGTCAGAGGAGGCAGTATTTCAAGATGATTTCAGTGTTTGCTCTAAGATGAGAGTTGTTCAGTATCGTTTCAGTGTTGAACAAAGAGAATGAGAAAGAAGTAGTGGCTCTGTAAAGATTGAGCTTTTTTCACTTGACTTTTTCCATTTCGAGGATTTGACGGTCAGCGATTCCTGCATCTGTATCTTTTTCCTTTATTTATAAGAGGAATAGTTTTGATTCGCCTCATTTGCTTTCCTTTTTTTTTTATTATTATTTTTTTTTTTTTGGGAATGACATTGTTAGATTTCTGTTGTATTTTTTGAGTATATATATATATATATTTATAAGCATTTCTTTTCCTTTTCTCACTGTATTTTGAACAGCTTATGATTGTGACTTAATGCGGGAGACAGATGAATATTTAATTTCTGTTTGTTTTTTAGGACACACGTTCCCCCTCCCCTTATTTGCAATAATATGTTTGGTTATATCCAAGTTTTTTGGTTGTCTTAAGATATATCTTCGCTTAAATTTTTCATCCTGTGCACATGACACACACACATGTTCACACACACACACACACACATTCACACACACATTCACATGCATACACACACACATTCACATACATACACACACACATTCACATACATACACACACATTCACATACATACACACACATTCACAGACATACACACACATTCACATACATACACACACACATTCACATAACATACACACACACATTCACATACATACACACACACATTCACATACATACGCACACACATTCACATACATACACACACACATTCACATACATACACACACATTCAAATACATACACACACACATTCACATACATACACACATTCACATACATACACACACATTTACATACATACACACATTCACATACATACACACACATTCACATACATACACACACACATTCACATACATACACACACATTCACATACATACACACACACATTCACATACATACACATTCACATACACATTCACATACATACACATTCACACACATACACATTCACACACATACACATTCACACACACACTTGTTTGTTTGTTCATTTATATGTATATATGTATATATATATGTATATATGTACACACATATATGTGTGTGTGTGTGTGTGTATGTATGTATATGTATATTGCTATGCATGTATATATACATATATATATATATATATATATATATATATATATATATGTATATGCACATATGTGCATGTATATATATATATATATATATATATATATATATATATATATATATATATATATATGTATATGCACATATGTGCATGTATATATATATATATATATATATATATATATATATATATATATATATATATATATATATATATATATATATATATATATTTATTTATTTATGCATATATATATATATGTATATATGCATATATATATTATATAAGTTTATATGTAAATATGTATATATATATACTTATATATGTATGTATATGTATGTGTATTTATAAGCATGTGTATATATTTGTGTATATATATGTGAATATAATGTATAGAAATATGTATATATACATATACATATGTATATATATATGTATATAAATATACATATATTCACATATGTGTATGTATGTATGTATGTATTTATTTACACATACATTTTATATTAATACCACAAAAATTTCATTATGTTGCTTGAATGCACATATAGTTTTGTTAGTTTTCACGTTTTCTTTTTTTCTTATTTTTACACAAATTTTTTCTTAGAGCTTTGTTTATTCATAATTTTTGGCACACTGGTTCTCAAGTTTAAGTAATGGAAAAATAGCTTAGGTTTGTTCATCTGGCAGACCATATCAGTTACTATTAGCTTCTCTTTTGACTTCCAAGAGAATTTTTGTTCCTTTATGTTGGACGAAGAAATGAAAGGCAAGCCAGTGGCTCAGCTCCCTCCCCCCACCCCTCCCTGTGTAGAGACCCCCTTCCCCGGGGTCGCGAGCCCACAGCCCCGGCATAACCACCCCCCTCCACCCACAGGTTATCAGGGTTACCAAGGGGGACAATACCACAGCTACCAGGGGATGCAAGGGAACTACAGCCAGGGGGGATACCATAACTCTGGCTACCCTCCAGATGGCCGGGGCTACCAGCCTCCGGGGCCCCCCAACCATCAAGGCAACTACCAGGGGGGCTACCAGCAGCCGGGGAGCTACCAGAGGCCGGGCTATGCGCCTGGGCAGCCGGGTTACCAGCAAGACCAGTTTCCGGTAGGTTCAAACCCCCTACGCCCGCGCCAGGGACTAACCCTCCCCTCCCCCCTTTCTTTATAGCTTTGAGTCTTGTTTTTTTTTTTTTTTTTTTTTTTTTTTTTTTTTTTTATCATTGATTATTTCTCCTTCTTTGTTCCTTTATATATATTTATTTCATTATTGATACTGTTTGTTTATTTGTTTTAATTAACAAAGTACTTTTTGCTAAGATGTGATCTTCAATATGTTGTGTATATTTTACATTACATTGCTTGCTTTATTGATCCATTTGAGAGCTTGCTGACCCTCCCCCATCTCTTTTTCAAATTATGTGTAAGATTAACTGCATTTTTTTAGGAAATTTCTTTTTATCCAAATTGCCTCCTCCCTGTCCAATGCCTTGGTCCTGGACCTCCACACACCCTTGTTCCTCCACCTCCCACCTTATTCCTCCCTCCACCCTCTACCCTATTCCCTCCACCCTCCTCCCTCCTCCCTCCTCCCACCTCTGTCCTCCCTCCACCCTCTACCCTATTCCCTCCACCCTCCTCCCTCCTCCCTCTTCCCACCTCTGTCCTCCCTCCACCCTCTACCCTATTCCCTATATCCTATACCCTCCACCCTCCCTCTTCCCTCCTCCCTCCTCCCACCTCTGTCCTCCCTCCACCCTCTACCCTATTCCCTATATCCTATACCCTCCACCCTCCCTCCACCCTCCTCCCACCTCCCACCTCTGTCCTCCATCCCCCCCTCCTCCCTCTCCTACTTCTGTCCTCACTCCACCCTCCCTCCCTGTTCTCCCTTCACCCTTCTCCCACTTCCCCCCTCTGTCCTCCCTCCACCCTCCTCCCACCTCTGTCCCTTCACCAACCATCCATATTAGTATGTGTTGAGTAATACCAAGCTTTGTTCACTCATGAGGACTGCAGTGTTCCCAATAGCTGTTGTTCTCTCAGACTAAGAAATTAAAATAATTAAGTTCCAGAATTCATCTTCTTGGGAGTTCTGCATTGCATGTGTGAGCAAAGCTGTTGCCTGCTTATATTACCAGCTGTGAGATAATAACTTCTTTCTGAGTTTACTTTCCATTACATTGACAATGATATAGGCCTACTTATTTGTCCTTTCTTGATTTTGCTTTCAGTATTAGCTTGTATGCAATAATTCAAACCCATATATCTCCCTTGGCCCTACCCCCCGCCATGGCATACCCCTTATTTACCCTTACCTGACCCCACCCCACCCCTTTGATATTATTATCATTTGACATCCTTAGTTGTGGAATATTTATTTACACTGACAGTTTTGACTCTTGAAGGTTGGAGAGGCAAAAAGAAAGGAAGCTTTTCTTCAGGGTATTGTGCAGGTAGTCCTTGCTTATTTTAACACTTGTCACCACCACCACCATCATCACGAATCTCATCTTAACCCTCCTCCCCCTCCACACACGCAACCACCTTTTCCCTCCGTAATTGTGATGCAGCATATCATTACAACAGAAATATTCACGTTTGCGAGCAGCCACTGCAGAGGGAAATTACTAGCTGGAAATTAAAAAATAAAAGGGAAAGTCAATACCTTCATTTACTTGTAAGGAGTTGGATCAAGTTAACCATTACTACATGTTCATTGTTTTATCGGTCACGCCTCTGGCAATGGTTGTGTTATGTTCATACAATCGTGTTTATACTTGTAGGCGACATAGACGTGTCAATTAAAGTTCCTTGAGATCTCCGTTTCCCTTTCATGTATGGAGTACTAGACAGTGTCAAGCATGGACTACCTGTATTAATTGAGAATATAATTGATTGTTCAATGGGAGGGAAAGTATCAATGAAAATTTAAAGAATGTTAAAGAAAGTAAGCATTTGAAGGGATTAAAAACAAATTGGGGACTAGAGCAAAAATCCGTGATAAATTTTTCACAACTGACGTGTACAGGCCAACCTCAGTAGTGTAGCCTTGCTTGTAGACTGAGTTGGATGCCATGTATTGTAGATGGGAAGTAGCGGCACAAACTACGGAAACTCCCAATTGGCCAAACAACTGCTGAACCCTCCGCGCAGCACGGGCCCTGTGTTTCAAGTACGTTTTTTTTTTTTTTTTCTTTCCCCTTTG